AAAAAAAAAAAAAAGAGCCAAATATATTTGAGCTCTCAGGAACAAGTCTGTGTAACATGGTACCAGGGTTAGGTGGTGATAGCTTCTAACCAGAGATTGAACAGAGGTTCTGGTATTTTGGTATCGTATTTTAACCATTAGTGGACTGGACAGTGGGAGGATGTGGGTGGCTTTGTATATCCTGAGTAATGGAAAGAAAGAGTTTTAGGGAAGGCTTTAGGACTTAAGTACCTTTCAGAAACACCAACAGCAAGTACTTACCTCCAGTGTCTTGGTTCCAAATCTTCACTTTGCAGTCATGTGATGAGGTAGCAATTACAGGTGTCAAGGCCAATGCTCTTGGTAGGAAGACACAGGATGCAACAGTCTGGAAATGTCCTTTATACTCACATATTCTGTTCCGTGTCTGCCTTAGGTCCCACAACTGCAAAGTAGTGACATAGGCTAGCTCAACATACATATTTTTCTAGCTTCATACATGCTTCATTTATTGATATCAATCCCCTCACCCTCACAATCCACCTATTCTCTCTACTTATCTACTCATGTTGCCACCCCTTAATCTTCACCCATCCCATCTGTACTCCCAACCATCCATCCATCCAGTGATTATTTTAAGCATCAACTATGTCTCGAACAATCTGGTTCAGGATGTGCCAGAGGGCTGTTGTCTTCCTCACTGTCGTCATGGTTAGGGAAGTGAAAGCTCTAAGTCCTACAGCACGATAGTACAGTATGGGGTTGCCTACTTTCTATGACAGCTAAAACCTGCCTTATATCAGCCTCTGGCATCTTTGGGTCCAGTGGGGACCCTATAGTTAGGAGCATATTCTCTTAAGAACATATAAGAACAGACCTCCTGATTTATTGCCTAGATGATGAACCTTGGTATATGAAGACGAGAGTCTACCAACAAGGGAGGTAACAATCCCACTAGTCCAACTCTCGTTGATATAGATCAGACCACACCTGGAGAATATAGTGTTCAGGGAGGAGAGCAAACTGAATTGTGTCCAAAAAATAATGAAATCACTGGATCCCATGTCATCCATGGAACAGTTGTAGTAGCTAGAAATGCTTAGCTTGATGAAGAGATGCTACATCTCAACAGCCTGGGATTCAACACCTCAACCTACCACTTACTGGAGGTGTTGTCTTTTTTTTAGGTATATTTAAAAAAATTTTTTATGAAGGTATTATTGATATATACTCTTATGAAGGTTTCACATGAAAAAACAATGTGGTTATTACATTTACCCATATTATCAGGTCCCCACCCATACCCCAATGCAGTCACTGTCCATCAGTGCAGCAAGATGCCAAGATCTACTATGTGCCTTCTCTGTGCTACACTGTTCTCCTGGTGATCCCCCACGCCATGTGTACTAAACATAATACCCTAGAGGTGTAATCTTTTGCATGAGATTTCAACTTGCCATGACTCTATCTCCTCATCTGTAAAATAGGAATAATAAAAGTACCTAACGCACAGGGTTGTTTTAAGGATTAAATGAGATAATGCATGTACTGTGCTTCTCCCAGTGCTTAGAGCATAATAAATGTTTGATAAAATGGCAGCTTTAATTGTTCTATTTGGACACTGATAACCCTGTTAGCTGATATTCTACAATGAGGAATCCAAGGTGCTTTGGAGGAGCCAAGGAAATCTATCTCAAAATTAATTTTAGGGAAAGGCATATAGGTAAGGGATGGGGTGCAGAGTTCCAAACTTCCTAAAGTGATTGAACCTCCTCTACTGTGACCATGTGTACAATGGGACTACCCTTGGCTCTTTGAACAGTCCCTCCCCTTTCTAAGCTCTGCTGGGAGAAGGGATGTTAGCAGGACAGTTCTGTGTTTAGCACCTTCCTATATTGATTCTCATTCCATTCCTCTTTCTACTATCAATTCAGAGAGCCCTAGGCTAATGGATATTTCCTGAAAGAAGCATCTAGAATGTAAAGGATCACTTAACAGTGTGCAAATGGAATAGGCCTGAGTCATCAGTAGAGCCTGCCTGTGAAGCTCAGTACAAGCATGAGGCCAGAGTATAATTTGCTCCTGGGAAACCAGACAGCCAGGCCCCACATCATCTCTTACTGTGGCTTCACAGCCTTCCCCTTCAAAGCCGTTGCTGCAGGAGATACATGTGTGTCCATCCTCACTGACCTCGCAGTAGGTCTGAATGTGCTGTTTTGTGGAAAACATATGAGCTACCTGCAGTCCCCGACTGTCCCATAATCTGAAAGAAATTACAGCAGGAAATGAATTTGTAGTAAATGTGTCTGAAATACACCTGAAATAGCCCATTAACATGAAAATCTTGGCTCTTTGCTGCTTCAGTCACTCAAAATGGAATGTCATGATTTACCTAAAAACAGCAGCATGAACCAGATCAATCTTGGATACTCCAAAGCTGGCAGGAAATAACCAGAGTGAGTGACATCTGACTTCTTTCTATTTTGAGATCTAGTTAATAGGAATTTAGACCAAGCATCTTAATTGTACAAGTTAATTGTTAATTTGGCCCTTTGGGATGCTGTTTTCAATGCACAAGAGGGTATTTCTGTGCCTGTGATTTAAAATATTTAAAAAGATACTTATTATGATACAGAGGAGCGGTCATCATTCCAGAATCAGATACAAGAGATTTATAGGACTTGGCCAACTTGGGCCACAAGGTCCACTCAGGGGTGTTTTATTCTACTTCTTGTCTCATTTTTACCTCTTGACCTCATCACTACCATTTTCTAAGTAGATTCTTTTCTGAACCCAAAGTTTCTAGTTGTGCTTTCTATTCTAAGAACGATTTACTTCATTTGACTACCCTGATGGTGGTTCTGCCTCTCTCCCCAGGAGCTTCACCTAAGCTCTGGGTGACTGAGAACAGCTGGAGCCAAGCAGGGGCAGCAAAGAGAGCCAGGCGCCAGCCAGGGGGCAGGAGCAAGTGACCGATCCTGAGGCTAATCAGACCCTATTCACACAGTGGGGATGGGTGGAATCAGTTGCTCTGAAACCACCCAGAACTGGGGCTTTTCCCTGGACTGACTTCCTGGCATTCAACGTCCAACCAGATGAACCACAGGGCCAGACCAGAGAGACCTCAGCAACAGTGAGGGCAGAGGGGCGGAAGGCTCTGGGAAGGGCACAACAATGTGGGGAAGCAGAGTGGGAACAGAATCACGTAAGCACCCACAAACCTTCACCAGAAACACCTTCATGCTGCTCAGTAAGCCCACCTGATGGTTTTATCTTCAGATGTCTGTAGTATATATGGTTCTCTGGGGACCCAGCACAGGTGAGTGACCTAGAAGTAGCAAAAAGTCTTGAACTTTTCCATTCCAAGTCATTCCTCTGCCATAATTCCTGTAAACTGTGCTAATCAGCATCTCTGCACCACTTCTCAAGGATGCTGAACTAGTAAATTTGACTTAGAGGAATTTAATGTTCTGCAGATACCCATCAACCATGTTCTACTTGCATCTCCTAGGTTATCAGCAGCAATGGTGGCTGTTGAGCCAGTTGTGAGTACCAGAATGTGGGCAGGCACTCTTAGAATGTCTGAAACCCAAACATGTTGTAGAGGACTGCTAGCTGGGTGGCAGCTAAACCCCTGTCCTAAAGTGGGACCACTGAAACCCTGGTTTAAGGCTTTATGGATTTAGGAAGTGTTCTTTCTTATTAATCCCTGAAGCCCCCTACTGGACAGGCGTGAAACAATTTTTCAAAACAACCCAAGGTAAATAACAGGATTTTCTTCCAGCAACCTTTACAAATAAGGAGCACATAAGGCAAGCATAACCTGCCATTGACAGTTGTCTTCAAAACTGGAAAAGATGACTATGACTGACATTTGATGACCACTACAGGGACATCTACAATGTCAGGTGATAGGATTTATTCTCCCTATTTTATAAATGAAGACATGAAACTCTAAGTAACTTCCTTGGGGTAACAGAGCTAAAAAATGATGGATCCATGATTTGAACCCAGGTATGACTGACCTCAAAGGCTACAGAGTTTATATACCAGAATGCTACCAGAAAACACTGGCCTTCATAAACAGAACAAATGTACATAAAGCAAAAGGTCATGCTTATTCCTCTGCATAATGTTACACATACAGAACACACAACAAGCATGAGCCACGGGTTCCTGGAGGACAGGGACTGTGCCCAGAGTCACTAACCCTGCTCCTAGCATAGTTTGTGCTAGTTCTAGTTGTGCTTTCTGTTTTATTCTTCTGGTCCACACAAGACATGGAATAACTATATTTTGAAGGAACAAATGAGGACACCCTTTAAAATTCCAGTATGAACTAGTAGAATAGTTCTCTGGAGCAGACGACCTCCAGAGATCATCTGATCCAATAATCCAGAGAGGTTGGCATCTGACAGAGTTTTAGGGGTGAGCGGTAATTAGGACCCAAGCCTCTAATGCCTGGTCGTGGGTCTCCTGATCTCTCCCAGGCTCCCTTCTGCTGTCCTACTCTGTACCCAGTTTGAGTTCCTACCAGATTCCTGGAGACTGAAGCTCTCTCCACACACTGTCCAGTCCCCACATCCCACAGAAGCATGGTGTTGTCCCGAGAACCAGTACACAGCTGTGATGAGTCTTCGGAAACAATGACAAGAAGATGGTCCATATGATGGGTCTGGGATAGGGCTTTTCAGAAAGGTGGGAAGAGATTTACTTTACCTGGACTCACAGCCAATCCGGTGACCACCATGGCGTGGCCACAGAACTGCTGCCTCGGTTGTGAGGAATCATGCAAGTCCCACATCATGACCATCCTGTCGCGAGAGGCACTGAAGAACTGGTTTGATTTGTGAATACAGGCTATCTGTTCAAGAAAAAAAAGCTCTGATGTGCTTGTTTGACTGGACTTTAAAATGGGAAAAAGCCATGGGATAAAAGTGTTAGAGCCTGTTGTTCTTTGTCTGGTTCAAAATATGCTGTTTCTGGCAGGGAAATATCATATTTCATGCTATGGGACTGTGGCTGATGCCTAATTTCATTAGGATGGAGTCTGCATCTTCATTTCTGATTCATTTAGGTGGACTTCAGACAGGGGAATCAGATAAATTGTCATTGTCATTTTTGTTGGAAGCTCACTCTACTCAGTAATGCTATTTAACAAATTAATTTTTGTTTAACGGTGGTTGGCTTTTTAAAAAGTTTCCCCAACTAGATTAGAAGGTTCATTTTTTTTAGCTACCGTAAACACACAGTAAGCCTTCAATAGATGTCCCTGCTAAGCTAGCATGAGATGGCAAGAACTATTCTCAGCTGTTCTCTATTTGCTACTGAGCCATTTATTAAGGGTTTAATATCAAAAGGAAAATTGTGCCTAATATACCGTAACAATAGCCAAACAGATGGTCTGCTCTGCTTTGCCTGGAGGAGGCTTCAGAGAATCAAATTTTCCTGAAGACCAAATGTTCAGTCACTCTTACCATCTAGAGCTATTAGTTACTCCTTCATCCAGTTCCAAATTCCCTCCATGATAATAATCAGTTGACAGTTACCTTGGTGATTTCACGATCATGTCCTCTGAACCTTTTCACCACTTTTCCAGTTCTCCAATTATAGGCCACAACAGTCTGCAGAGAGTCATTAGAATATTTTAGTTTAATTGCATTTTCATTTACTGAAACAATAAGTCATTACTTCATTCTCTACTTTATTTCTCTCTGTGGAGGGACTTACATCAAGCATTTGTGTTTTATTGCTGTATCCCTCCTCATATCCCCCTACATGGAGTTTCTTTTCTTTCCTCCTGATGGTGCCTCTGAGTCTCTTCAAGACATTGGGCCACTCTTGTGAGCTTTTTAGGATAACTAACACTCAAGGGGAACTGATTCAGGTTGAGATTCTGGTTGTAGATGCTGAAGGAGAATTCTACGAGGGATTAGAGTTTTTCTCCCTAACTGAATCATACTTTTAGTTTTTTTTAAATTTACAATTTTAATCATTCTTAGGTATACACTTCAGTGATGTAAGCATATTCCTTGTTCTGAAACAGATCGCACCTTTTTGAATTTCAAAAAACCTCATTCACAATCCCATCTGTCAGAGACTCACTGTTAAAATTTGCTGTCCAGCCTTTCCCCAGGTGTATACTGTAGTATTTTGTTGTAAGCATTCTTCACCTAAACATTTCTAAAGCACACTCTAGCCCAGTCTCCATAGCTCATTGCTAGAGATGAGGAGGAGCATGTTTGCACCTGACCTAGTTAGACCCCCCATTTCTTAATCTGCAAAATGAAGAGGATAATCCTTGTCCTAGTGCCCCCTCACAGTTGGGGATCATATAAATAAAATTGTATACATCTGAGTAGATTTTAAGACAAAATGCTGCCAATTAAATGATGATATCATGTTTTATTGTATATTTTTATATGCACAGTGATTTCAAAGGTGTTGAAATATGAAAATATCTTAGAATCCATGAACTGTAGTATGAAAATGGAATTTGAAGATGCTAAAAGCCTGTTGAAAATGAGAAGCATTACTTACTACAAGAGAGTCAATATTTTTGCTACCAGTATCTGAGCTGTGAGGGCTATGATAGGTCCAAATATGAGGGACAGAAAGCAACCAGGTCAAAATGACAGTGGGCGGAAGGACAAAAGCACAGAAGGGAGGAATCACAATGTACACCAATGTAGAGATTTTGGCAAAACAGAGGCAAAAAGAAGAGACTAAAAAGCTCCTTTTGATGACAAGTCACTCCTGTAGGTGTGAAAAGGGATTGGCTGGAACAATAATACTTGTCATTTACAAAGAGCACGTGGGTGGCCTGGCATAGTGCTAAAGATGTTACAATTTAATTCTCACCACTGCCTGTGAGCTTGGCATTAGCACACCATTTAATAGATAAGGAGACTGAAGGCAAGAAAATGTAAAGACTTGCCCAAAGTAAGAGGAAGTGGCAGAGCAGGGATTTAAACCCAGTCTTTCTAACTCTAAAGCCCATGTTTTTACACTGCGCAGCACTGCTGCCAGAAATTCAAATCCAGCACTTGCTTTCCAAATATCTTTCCTTCTCAGCAGCAGATTAGTTCTCTGGGAAGCACTGCAAACCCCACCTTATCTTTCCCTCCGGAGATGCACAGGTCCGAGTTCAGAGTGGCAACAACAGAGACGGTATCCGTGTGAGCTGGGCTATACTCTGGACAGGCTTTAGTTGGCATTCTCTCTGCTACAATTCCATCGGGCCTGCTAAAGAGAGGATGGCCAGTGAGAGGGCCAGTGGCATGGGAGTGCACTGTGGAGCAAAGGGAAGGAGTGGGGGCCATGACAGCAACTCAGGCCAGGCTGAGGAGAGAGATGGAAACAGGGTGGAGAAAGGAGCAATTGTATTATTTCTGTCACTGTCAGAAATTATATAATTAACTCTGAAAATTCTGAGTTGACTGAATGATTGGAGTCTGATAAGGGGGAATCCGGAAGCCAAGAAGCCAGAAATCTTGGTTAACTCTAGAGTTAGTCCCAAAGATGTAGGGGCCTTCTCTGTGTGGCCGCAGACGCTAGCTAATTGAGCTGTTTCTCATCCAAAAGAAAACAGATCAAACTGTTCAAATTGACCAACTGCCTTCTCTTTCTTGAGTGGAGAATTTTAATGCGGCACGATAAAACTTGAGATCCCAAGGTAGGATTGCAGTACCTGTATTTGTAAGTGCTGTGTTTGATTTTGCTTTGCAGTTTCCCCATGGTGGCATGGAACCCACATGAAACCTTCTGAGGAGGAGCTCATTTCAGATAGCACTTGAGCAGCAACATTCCTTGTGGCTGCTGGAAGTTGTGTTCCCTGTTTAGTAAAAAAGAAGAACACATACTGTTAATTTTGTTAGGCACAGTAATGGTATGCTTACGTAAAAATAAACCCTTTTTTGAAAAAAATTAATTGTCCGCATTTGCTTTCCTTCTTTTTCCTGACTTGACTTGCTTTTATGGCCCTGGAAGTGCACCCTCCAATAAAGCATTAGCACATGAAAGTTGTGTTCCCTGTTTAAAAAATACCAAGAGGTTCCTCAATAAGTTAAACAGAGAATTAGCATATGATCCTGCATTTCTACTCCTGGGCATACAGCCAAAAGAAATGGAAACAGGTGTTCAAACAAAACTTTATACATGAATGTTCATGGCAGCACTGTTCACAATAGCCAAAAGGTGAAAATTACTAATGGCTGATGAATGACTAAACAAAACATGGTATATACATACTTACAATAGACTATTTCTCAGCCATACAGCAGGAATGAAGTACTGATACATATGATAGCATGGATGAACCCTGAAAATATACGAAGCCTGCAATAAGCTAGACACAAAAGGCCACATATTGTATGATTCCATTTATATGAAATATCCATAGTTTGGCAAATCTATAGAGACAGAAAGCAGATTAGTGGTTGCCAAGGGCTGGGGTGATGGGGGAATGGGGAGTGGCTACTTAATAAAAAATAGGTACAGAGTTTCCTTTCGGGGTGATGAAAATGTCCTGGAACTAGATAATGACGATGGTTGCATGACACTAAGCACTACATAATAATAGTAGATAATACATTTTATGTCATGTGTATTCTATCACAATAAATACTAAGAGCTGTATTTGAAAATGAATGAATGAATAAGTAAATAAATAAATTACACAAGTGAATTTCTTGAAAGAGAACCTTAGCTATTTTGAGGGGTTATAACCTTCTTAACTTATTGGATTGTTTTTAAATAATTTCACTGTGACACTTTTCTAAATTGGTGTGCCAGAGTCATGAGATTATTCTGTAATAAGAATGAGATGTGAGAGATAATGATACTAAAAGAGACAATATAGGTCATGACCTAGACAAGTGGTTCCCAAAGTGTGATCTGAGGGCCCCTGGGGATTCCTGAGACCCTTTCAGGGAATCTGTGAGGTCTTCCTTTCTCCAACTCTGTCTTCCTAAACTACAGCCCATACTATCTATTGCAACAGACTGAATGCAGAAGCAGATAGAATTCAATTGTCTTCTGTTTAAGCCAAACATTAAAGAGATTTGCAAAAATATAAAACAATGCCACTCTTTTCCAACCAAATTTATTTGCATTTTATAAAGTATATTTATTCTTCATAAAATTGTATTATTTATGTTAACATGCAGTAGGTTTACTGTTTTCTTATGGAATTAATAGTAAATATTTTTAAAATTCTACCTTAATGTCAATAGGAAGTGGTAGAGTAGAACCCAACCTATAACCTACATAAACAAAGTCTTTGAGGTCCCCAATCATTTTTAAGACTGAAAGAGAGTCCAGAAGCAAAAAGTCAGAGAACCACTTGCCTAGGACTTGAACAATATCAATAATGGGTGATAATATATTAGAATAAAAAGAATTAAGTGTTTCCAGATTTACTAGCATCATCCCCAACAACAAATGAGGCTAGAAGTAAAGAGAAAGAGATAATAAATTATACATTTAAAGATGCTCACCGATACCTTCATTCAGGAAACACCTCCTAAGCCCTTAATGCTGGTCCTGTTCTGGTTGCTGATGAAACAGAAAAAAGACCAGAAGATGTGGCCAGTGTGGGCATCTGCTGGGACTGAAGGTATCTGACTGGGGCTAATCTCAGCTCCTCTGGGTCATGCGTTCTCTGCAATTAGCTATTCCAAGAAGCCAGAGGATAGAGGAAAATAAATGGGGAGAAGGGAATACCCAGTCCCCATCTCTTCTGGGGTTCTGCTTAAAAAAGTTGTAGGAGACAAGTTTCCTATGTGCACCACCATGCTAGTTCTAGGAAGAACGGTCTATAGGGAGGACAGCAGCTAAAAGTCACTAAGCAAGTATTCTCAATCCTACCATTAAAAATAGTTTTCTACAAGAATTTCAGCCTACATTTTGAGAAGCTGCCAGAACTGACCTCCTAATAAGAATAGGTACCAGGACAGAAGCACAGTGCATTGGAAAGAACACTGTGTGTGGCATCAAGAGCCCTGGGTTCTAGTCTGAGCTCTACCTCCTCTCAGTGTGTTCAGGACTTCCTCCTTCTCCACTCTGTGCCTTAGCTTCCCCATCAACAAATGAGAACACCAAATTAAATTATTTTTAGTAGACTATGTGCTTCCATAAGAGGAAGGACACTGTCATATTCATCTTTGTGCCTCAGATGGTTTGCACAAAAACATTTGTTGTGAAGTAGTGAATCTAAGGTCACTTCAGTTGAGATATTCTAGGATTCTCTAGAATAAGCACAAGACGTCTGACAGGAAAAATGTCAGAATAGTTTTCAAAAAGCTCATAGACAGGCAGAGGTTGCAGGGCTTCCTATCTGCCAGCCTAACCCATTTTTTTTTCAACATTGTCATCAAATAAGGAGAGATGCCAGCCATAGATCTAGGTCACTGGAAACAGAAGATGGTATAAACGGATTGGCTTTACTTAAAATTTACTGTATTCTAAGCTGATATCTTCAGAGAGCCATACTTCCCCATCTGAAGAGAATTCATGGGACATTCTACACAATAGACAACTTTTAGAATTACTTACCCCCAAACCAACAGTATCTTTTTGGTGAGCTGCTGTATTCAATGCTTTATAATGTTTATCCTTTGGAAAATAGTTCAGGCAGCCACTTCCTAATCTCTGTAATTATTGAAAAGACACTTAATCTCTTCTCTGTCTAAGCATATGTTTGCACTGAAAGACTCACAAAATAAGGACCTTATTTAATTAAAGAGATTAAGCATAGTTTTCCCTCACAAAGAAAGAGGTATCTTACAAAATTCCAAGATCATATAATTCACACATTTCCAACAAATAGGGAAAGTATATAATGTTAATTATGCATCTATTTTTAAATATACAAAGTAGGGTATATTTAAATGCATCATAAACATTTTTATTATAACTGGACTTCCGTTATCAAAAATTTTCAGAGTTGACTGCTTACTTCAGAGCTTACTGTTTTTGTGAGAAAGGCAATTTCCCTTGTTTAAAATAATACTTTAATTAAAGCATGAATCACAGAATTTGAGATAGAAGAGCTTTTTAAAATCATCACATATAAACTCTTTAAAGAACTGGGCAGAAATATTATTTGCTCAAAATTGTAATGAGGTAGATTTCTTGACTTCTAGTCCAGAATTTCCATTATAAACATCTACAAAGAAGAAACAGTTTTATTGCATTTTAACAACTCTATTTGACAGTGTAGTTTATTCTAAGAATTAAGAAAAACACAAAAGAGTCAGAACAACATTTGACTAGGTGCATTAACATGGGAATTAGGACTAGGTCTGAATTATAGTTCTCCTTTGGCATTGGGCAAGTTGCTGAGCCTAAGTGTCAGTTTCCTACATGTAAAATGGGATAATAACTCTATCATTGGCCTCTGTGAAGATTAAAAATAGCACTTAGGATGTGCCAAGGTTTTCTGTTCTTTGTGCTTTATATTAACTCATTTAATTTATTCCACAAACCTCTAAGCGGCACTGCTGAAACTTGAATCCAGGCAGTGTGACTCCAGAGGCATTGTCCTTGCCCAGCAGACTATACTGCATCTCTCCAAAAGCTCAGTGCATAGTAAACCCTCAGTTCTGGCAAACTGCTGATACTAAATGATGGCTACTCGCATGATTACTAGATTAACAGTGATAGCAATACTGAAACTAGCAATTTCATCTTTATTAAATACTACTCTTAATACACATATATTAAACATAACATTGATCATACTCAGGCTAAGAATTCATTATATGTTATATAGCAAGGCAATTTAAATCTTGAGAATGAAGAAATGAAAATACTATTCAGTTATCTTTCACTGCTTATATTGTGAACATGTAATATACTTGAGAGGAGGGCCAATGTCTTCATTTTTGTAGCTGTGCTTTAGGCATAGTCTGCGAGAATAGATGCGGCCAGAACCCCCAAGGCTGCCCCAGGTGAACCCCCAAGGCTGCCCCAGGTTGCGGGGACTACCTGAGTGCAGTTTTTTCTTTCTGTATGTTCACATCACAAATGCCCCTAGTTCTGTCCAGCCAGCCAGCCAGGTCTTATTTTTTATGGGGCGGGGGTGGGGTGTGGGGACAAGGCGAGGGGTTTCACCCAAGATGGGGATGTAGCGCCACCCAATCCCAGACCGGCCTTCGGAATTCCCTCCCCAATTTGGCCAGGTGTGCGGCTGCGGTCTGCAGAACATGAGGGCTCCCACCTCCCTGCCTGCCCGCTGGGCCCCTTCCACCCACCTCGGGCTCCAGACCCACCGGCTGGCTGGCCCGGCGGGAAACTGAGGCTGGCGGGGGCGCGGTACCATAGGGCGTCCGCAACCACAGCGCTCCACGCGCCTCCGCCCCTAGCAACGAGGAGCGCGTCGCTAGGGAGGGAGTGCCCACGAAAAGCCTCCGGGAGCGCTCGCTGGCCACTGAACCAAGGTTCCGTTCACCTGACGTCTTCCGGGGGCCGAGCCGACAGCGCCTTGCCCTGCTTTCTTACTGTAACAATGCGTCGATGGCATTCCAGAGAAGAGGAACGGTGTGCCTGCCCAAGACCACGCTGCCAGAGACTCCGTGTAATGCAAGAAAACCGGGCACCACCGTAATAGTCACTCAGAAAGCGTGACTTAACAATGCCGATTTTTAAATTTTTATTTGCCACGTAGAGGTGTTGCTTTATTTCTCTGTAGTTTTCCCTTATCCCACCCAGTCAGAAATTCCTCCTTTGGACACTTCCCCAGGTGCCACCAGTCCCATTTTTTTTCTTCCATCAAACCTTTACAGCTCAGCACCATAACAAAGAGACCCCCTTAGTACCTTCTTGAGATTTAATGGGAAGACAGTTCCAGAAACTACCAACAGCTACACGACAAAGTTTTTGTAGCTGCAGTTTAATTGCTTCTAGAGTCCATTCATTTCTGTATTAGCGCCCAGGGTTTGGTGCAGAGTAGGGTCTTGTAATAGAATAGGCTTGTTGAATGTTCGTTGAATGAATGAATGGCAGGAATCCTAGCCAACATTTCTTTGGCACCCTAGTAGGTAATTGCTGCAGTGCTGACCTCCCAGCAGAACAGTCTTCAGTAAGGATCTCTGGAGTTTCTGAAAGTTGGGTGCCTGTGGGGATGGGGTTACAGGTGGTGAGGGCATTTACCTTCACAGAATATCAGGGCAGGCCATTGGGTCTATCTTCCAACCCAGAGAAAGATTCCCATCCACAGCAGCCCTGATAGGTTCGTTCACCCTACTGACCTCCCTCAGTGATGATGTATTCACTGCTTTCTGTGCCAGTGGCCTGTTAGGAGACTTCCTCCTGGCAGGTGCTGGGATCTACCCACATGCCACTTGCAACACTGATCTTTGTTCAGAGCTGAGGGCTCTCCCTACTAATGTAATCCCTTTTCCACATAACAGCCTGGCAATCTTCAACCAGGAAAGACTGACTGCTTTGCCCTGTAGCACTTCTCCCTAGACCTGTATATCCACCTACTTCCTGCCTGTCTCTACCTGGCTGTCTAAAAACACCTCATCCTTGATCCAATTCACACTGGGAACATCATCTTCTCCCTAAACTTGTTCTTCCTTTTTTCTCTCTGAGTGCTGGGCATTACTATTCACTCATGTCAGGGATCTAGAAGTCATTTGTTCATTGTTCCAGAACAATCCCCAAGACTTCTCAGTTCTGCCTCCTAAATCTTCTAAAAACAAAAATCTGTCCATATCTCTTTACCCGCTACCTTGGTTCAAGCTATCTTCATCCCAAGACGTGACAGATTAAAAATGGCCACAAATTCTTGTAGCTTCTCCCATCAGGGCTGCCCTTGTAACTTGTTTTGAGCAATAGAATGTAGTGGAAATGACATTTTGCTACTTCTGAGTTTAAGCCTCAAAAGGTCTTGTAGTCTCTGGTTTCATGCCACTGTGGGAAGAAGCCCAAGTTAGTCTGTTTAAGACACATGGCCTATCCAATTGCTAGCATCAAATACTGGACATTTGAGTGAGACTGTTTCAGACCATCCAGCCCTAGCTGAGCCATCAGATGACTGCAGCCACATGGGTAACCATCAGAACAGCCCAGATGAGTCCAGCCCAATTTGCCAGCCCACACTTGTGAGTAAATTAACAGTTGTCATTTTTTTTAATTGAAGTATCATTGATATACAATCCTATATTGGTTTCACTAGTTACCCATACTATTAAATCCTTATCCCCACTAGTGCACTTACTATCATGTCATCATTTTAAGCCACTAAGCTTTGGGGTGGCTTGTTATAACATTGTATATATATCAAGCAGATAACTGATATCCAAAATGAAGTCCAAATTCCTTCGTTAGGTCTGTAAGTTGTGGTATCTCTCTCTTTAGCCTCATCTTCTACCTCTGCGATCCACACTATATGCTTGCAGCATTCTTTGCTGTCACCTTTGAATCCTTGTATATAGCATTCCCTCTGCCCAGGGCATCTCTCTTATATCCCCTCACCTATCTTTGTCTGGCTAGCTATTTATCCTCAGCTTAAAGGCCATCTCCCTCTCTACCCTCAGGCCTTCCCTAACCAGCCCTCTCCACTTTCACACCAAGGTAGCTATCCTTCCTTTCTGCTCCCAAAGCCCCATACTTTCCCCAAATAGCAAGATTTTTTAATTTACTTGGAGACACCTGCTTGACTGTGAGCTCCATAAGGGCAGTGACTGAGTCTTATTTACACCTGTATCCGTTGTTGGTGTCTAACACCAGGGTCCAGCACAGCAGTGCAACAGAACTTTGTACTATGATGAAAATGTTCTGTATCTGCATTGTCCAATATGCTGGCCCTGAGCCACATGTGGCTATGGAGCACTTGAAATGTGGCCAGGGCAACTGCAGAACTGAATTTTTCAAATTGTATTTAATTTTAATTTAACTTTAAACTGAAGTAGCCACATGTGGCTAGTGTCTATGGTATTGGAAAGCTCAGGTCTAGTACACAGCAGATGCTCATTGAGTATTTTTTTTATATTGTTAATGTACAATTACTTGAACAACATTATGGTTACTAGACTCCCCCTATTATCAAGTCTCCACAACACACACCCCATTACAGTCACTGTCCATTAGCATAGTAAGATGCTATAGAATTATTACTTGTCTTCTCATTGAGTATTTTTGTATAAAGAAGGAAAGGAGAAGTCGCAGCCAGCCAATTAGGACACAAGACAGAATGCTATGGGTGTAAGCAACATAATTTATTTTTTTAATTGAAGTATAGTTGATATACCATCTTATATTGGTATACAATATAGTGGCTCAATAGTTACCCATATTATTAAACTTCATTCCCCACTAGTACAGTTACTGTCAACATAGAAAGATGCTACATAATCATTGGTTATATTCTCCATGCTGTACTACCATCCCCATGAACAACTTATATTATGGTTGATAATTTTTGTGCCCCTTAATCCCCCTCACCCTTCCCACCCACGCACCCAAACCCCTCTCCCCATGGTAACCACCAGTCACTTCTCAGTGTCTGTGAGGTTAGCAACATAACTTCATGTACTCTCTCCTTTCCCCTCACCTTTCATTCTCCCAGCCTAACAATACCAGTGCCTCCAACTCTGCTTTATGTAACTACAGTCCTAGTTCTTGGCCTTTACTGCCTGAACTAGTTATTCTGTCCTGAATTTGCTCAGTTTGGTATTGTCGCTCCTGGGAAGGGGGCTGGTCCTAAGAGCCTGGGGAGACAAGATCTGGTCTCATCTGGTCCGGTGCTGTCTGGTCTGGCCTGGCCTGAGCAAAGAGGATTCAACACAGGAGACACATGTGGTCTGAGTTTGTCTGCACCGGCAAGCTGCCAAGTCCTTCTTAAAGGTGACAGTGAAGCTACTGTGCTGTGAAAATATCACAAGAGAAAAGAAGCCATGGAGTTGATAGTCTTGCTACTCTGTGCAAGTAACTGTGCAAACCCGTCAGATGACTTCCAGCCCTGACACCAGAGACTGGCTGGATAAGGATTGAGGAGGAAGGAGGCCTGGGGACAGGGTGAAGCCAGATTGGTGATAGGCCAGGACCACTGCCAGACGGGCAGACAAGAGCTGGGCCTGCAGTTAAAAGAGGCTTGAGGGAGAGTAAAGGCCAGGGAAAGGTAGTCTTTTCCAGTGGACTTTCCCAAATGTTCACTATAAAAAGTCATCGAATAAAATTAAAAAAGGAACAAAACCAAATGCAATAAACAAGCAAGCAAAGAGTCAGGTTTCAGAGCAGAAATGTACCAATAATCCCAATTTTATAAAAAATAAATACATTTCTACCTATGTCACTCAGTAGGGGTTAATGAATATTTTGTCAGGTGCATGAGGATCTGTAAATAAACTTGTAGCACCTCTTCAGGATGTAAATTGTGTGTTCTTTGATGAGAGGGTAAGCAGAGTTCATGGCATGAAAAGAAATTTTGCCCTTGCTAATCTCTCTGCCTGGAAAACTCCCCCAGATAGTCTCACAGTTACCCTGCTGTCTTTATCCAGGACAGTTTCAGAGCCACTCCTCTATCTCCTTTTAAATCAGCACCTCCATCAAGCCCTCTTTCCTATAATGCTTGAATCTTTTTCACAGCTCTTATCACTTTCTAACATTATGTTACATATCCATTTATTTTATTTGTCTGGAACAGTAGACTTTGTTCTTCTCTATGGTTGTATTCTCAGCATCTTTATATGGCCCAGCACATACGTAGGTGCCCAATAAATCTGTAAAAATGACTAAAATATAACAAAGGTGTCCATTCTTCCCTATCCTCAGCTGAGGGTGTTCTGCTTAGGCAAGCTCTAAAGTTCAAGAACAGCCCTCCCGACTCCTACCAAGGCTCCAGGGGTCACCTTAGAGCAGCAGTTTTCAAACTTTTTAAATGACTGTGACCGTTAGTAAGAAATACATTCAATCCCCAGTGCTCATATAAGTACATATACATGTGACTGAAACAAACAAAAAGCCCTTTCTATGAGCAATATTTTCAATTTTTTCTTTCTTTTTTTATTTTTAAAGATGCTTGTCTCCACCCCTTGAAAAGATTTCTCCACTATTAATGGGCCAGTCACTACGGCAGTGTTTTTAGGAGCAGTCAGAAAACTGCTCATTTGTATCCTACTCTCAGGGCAACTGCCACAATGGCTGATTCCTGGCTCCATCACAGACTTGGTGAATGAGAATCTTCCTGGAAAGTCTGCATGCTTAGCAACCCCTCCTCTAATCACCTCCGGTGACTGTGAAGCCTGATAAAATTTGAGAGCCACTACTTGGGAGTTTATAAGTATCCTGAGGCCTCTCCAGGGTACAGTACAGGGCAGGGCCCCATGCACAGTAAGGGAAAGGGCTGATTTTCCAGTCCAGTCCAACTCAGACCGATGGTCTCAATTTTTAAAAAGTAAATCCATTCCCACCCAAGTTCCTTGCACTTTTCAGTCCCTCTGCCTGGAGACTCTTTTCAGAATCTCTCTGCCATTTTTCTGGGGCTTTCCTGACTCCAGCCCACCTAAGGCCACTGACTGCTGCAGGGCCACACCCAATGAAGTGGTCCCACTTTCCCCAAGGATCTTAACCCTTCTCCTCCCCCATCCCCCCTGCCCTCCACAATCTTTTTCCCTTCACACAAAGTCACCTTCTCCTGTTTCTTTTGTTCTTACTGTAAGGTTTAAAAGCCCTCCACAACCCCAGCCCTTAGAACAAATAAACTCTAACAACAATCTCTAATTATGGTAGCCAGTTTCCATCCCTACCCCCAAAAGTGGGTAAATGCCCTTTAAGAGGCCCGTACCCACACACTGGAATGAACTAGAAACTTCTTTTGATGCCAGGAATGTTGTATCCCTCTCACTAAGGGACCTCACACAATTTATATTCTGAAAACCTGCTACAAGTATATTTACAGATTCTCACACATATAATAAAACTTATTAGCCCCTAGCTTATGCCATACACCCAAGCTAACTTGCAGTCAAGATCTCATTTAATTTCTGAAGCAGCCCTCAGGGACAAAAAGCATTAATTTTTCACTCCCATTTTAGAAATGAGCAAGCTGGGGTACAGAAAGACTGAATAATCTGACCCAGGTCCCATAGCTGTTAAGAGGTGTATCTCGGGACTATCTGCTGCCTTTACCCTCAGGAGCTGATGCTGTAGGGATTGACAAAAGGGAAGGATTCTCTTCCCTCTTGTAGTTGTTTCTCATAGGGGCCTCAGGGTAAAGGTGCCTGAGTCCCAACATGTCCAAGATATAGAGATGTTTATTTTTCAGACTTTGCTCTCACAAGCGTCCAGTTCTGGTGAACTCAGAATACCCTCTGACACCCAAGGCCTGGCTCCTTCTCCCTTTGGCAGAGTTCTCTCCCTAGCTTTCTGCCAAGATCTCCTAAAATGGAGTTTGAGGTTGGGGGATCAGCATTCTCCTTGCATACCCAGGCAGACTGGACTCGTGCCCCAGCAGAGAAGTCAATCTGGGCTCATACTGACTTGTCAGTTCCTAAGGAAAAGCCCCAAGACAGCTCAAATACATATTAACAGTGTTTTTTGGGGGTCCATGGGTTTTGTATCCACATGTTTATTTGCATATTCTATTTTCTTCATAAACATGTATTATTTTTCTCAATATTAAAATTTTTTTTCAAATTAAGAAAATTTAGATGTAAATACTTTGGGGGAACCAACCTAACACAGATGTTCCTCATTGGGTCTTAATATGCAATTTTAAAATCATTAATCAGAGTAACCTTTAAACTCTGGGTTCCGGTCTCATTGCTACCAATTAGTAACAGTGACCCCTACTTAGCAAGTTACTTAGAACCTTTGTAAAAATGGGGATCATATAAGTATTTTCCCTATGCTGTGTTCAGCAGAAGCTTAGCAATTGCAGCTTTTGCCTGTGCTCCAGATACCGTTTTCTAACTCATTTAATCCTCAGCGCAAGTCTTGGATCTAGGTACCCTCGTTGTCCCCATTTTATAGCTGAGGCCCTCAAGGGTACTCAGCCAGCAAGCAGCTAAATGGTACTTGAGCCCAGGCAGTCTGACACCAAAACCTACCTTTAAGCTCCTTGTCTAAAGCTGCCTCTCAGAAAGCGCTGTGGCATTAGGAGACAGAACTCTTATTAAGCGTTTGGCAAAAGCCCGGCACTTAAGTGCTCAACTAAGTTTCCTCCGGTCACATTATTTGGTGTTTTATGTTTCTTATAAAACAAACACGCATACAGCGGGATTTAATTCAGCCAAAAAAATCAAACAGACGTCTAAAGCGGAAGGGCTTTGGAGCGGGGTCGAGTCAGGGGTGCGGGGTGGGCGTCCCCCACGCTACCACAGAAAAGCGAGAGGAGGCGCAGCGGCGGGAGCGCAGGGCAGCCGGTCGGGGCCGGAGGGCGGGGTCAGGGAGGCCCCGCCCAGCAGCCACCTGCGACAGGTGGGGCGCGGGGCGCCGGGCGCTCGGCCATGTCTGCGGAGGACGCGGGATCGGGGCCCGGGCCGGCGCCCGAGCCGGGCCCGCTGTGCCCCGAGCACGGCCAGGCTCTGAGCTGGTTCTGCTGCTCTGAGCGACGGCCAGTGTGCGCCGCCTGCGCGGGGCCGGGCGGCCGCTGCCGGGGGCACCGCATCCGCCGGGCGGAGGAGCGCGCGGAAGAGCTGCGGGTGAGCGGGCGTGGGCCCCGGAAGGCGGGGGGCTCCGGAAGGAGGGGTCTGCGGAGGGAGTGGGGGGCAGGGTCACGTGCTGGGCAAGACCCGGTGGGACCCGGGAGCCTGCGGCCGGGCGGACGCCGTGGCCGGTCTAGGAACCTAGGTTTCGCGGTCGCACTGGCTGTAGAAAAGAAAGGTTAAGGGTGTGGCCTCCGGAGTCATGGTGCTGTGAGTTCGAATCCCGCCTCCGTCTGTCCTCCCGTGAATTTAATAATTCTCTGCTCTCAGTGCCTTCAGCTGTACTCCGGGGGCAATTATAGCATGCATTCATTTAAGTCGTTGTGCGATGTAGATTAGATAGTGGGTGAAGTGCTGTTTAGCCTATCGCTTAACACCTCCCGCCCCACCCCACCCCACCCTACCCCATCCAGCGCTCTGATGAGAGGTTCGAGAGCCAGGCCTGGCCTTGGGCAATGAAGGGCTCCACTGCTGCAGTTGTCCTGGCCGAGGTGTGCCTCAACTCCTGTTCCAGGGGAAGCTGACATCCGATAAAACCTAGCTCTGCCCACTCCCCAGCCCTAAGCTCAAAACCTCTCCCCTCATCCACCCTTCAGGCTTCCTGGAGAGGTGATTCTTTTCGGCTTTCAGCATTGGCCTTGACTGTATTTCATAATAGTTTTATCTAGGTAAACAGTGGGTGGGGAGGGTATCTGGAGAACCCTTCAACTAGGGTCCTTCACCTAGATTTCACCCCACCCTCACTTCCAGGTAGCTCCAGGCTGGTCACCTTCCTGTCACCACTCCTCCCCAGAGCTGCAGAGACTGAAGAATCCAAGTCACCCTGGGGCTTCCTCCCTCCTTCGACTTTAGCTGTGGGCCCTCGGGATTTCCTTGCCATTTGATTAAGTGGTTCAATTCTCCCAGCCTCACAGAGAGGTTCTTTCCAGCTTTGAGCCTGAGGGTTCTCCTGGGGACTTGCCCACTCAGACTGAACTGTAATAAACATACCCGAGGGGGCAGCAAGGGTTCAGTTACTCAACACCAGAAAACAAAAGCTCCTGGTTGGTCCTGTCCATGATAGTGATGATGAAAATAAACTTGGATAATGTGGTATAATAAACTTGCATGATGAACAGAATCTTTGCTAGTTCCAAAGCACTTAAATATCCATTATCCCATTCCATCTAGACCAAGCTTTTGAAGTGGTGTTCCTGCCTGCATTTTACAGATGAGGAAACTGAGTTCCAGATTAGAGCAGTAACTCATCCAAGATACCTAATGTTCAGGGGCTGGACCAGGGGAGTCATTGACTAGGCCAGTGAAAACCACCTCTTTGCTTCAGTGGTTGGAGGGAGGAAGTGATGCTAATGGGAGTTAGAATTTAATAAAAACCTTTAAATAGATTTACCATCAGGGCTGAATTTGAGTGGCAGAAAGGGTGAAAGCTGGGGCAGGGTAGCAGGCCTGGTGCTTGTTTTGGAATGCACTCTGCCTTGGGCACCTTCCCTGTACCCTCTGGAGTTCTCAGCATTTTCATCCTCCGTTGCCTGGAGGGAGGTGTGGCCTGCCCTCTTTCCCTCCATTTTTGAATAGGTTACTACTTTTGCACACCCCTTCCTTTATCTTTGTAGCCGGCAAAGAAATTTTGCCCTAGGGCAAGATTGTTAATGAACTGGGCACAAAAAGCACCAGTTCAATTTCTCTCTTACCTTCTGGATTCCTGTTCTGTAGCTTTTCAGAATCCAGTTCCCTCAGTCCTGTGGGATGTGGTGATCACAGCTTCCTTCCAGTCACCTCAGTCCTAGAACTTTGTATTTGAACCAGTGAAGTGTAAGGCTAATTCCTAAATGTGCAGAGAATGCTTTACAGAGGCTGTCTAGAAGTGGAGCTGAGTTGTCCTGTGGCAGATGGAATGGGGCCAAAGCTCTCAGGGGAAATAGTGGAGGAGCTGCAGCTTGTAAGGGCTCCAGTTGTTAGCTGGAGAAATAGAGTGGAAGAGTAGGGTCCTGGTCCTAGCTGCTTGGCAAGTCACATCTCAGTGGGCCTCAGTTTCTTGTAAAAATCTCACCCGCCTTCATGGGTGTGGCTCACAGCTTTAGGAGCTGTGAATTGCTGAACCTCTTGTGGTCAAGGAGGTGGGTATACATTCATTCAACAAATATTTATGCAGGGCCTCTGTGGGTAGAAAGTTTCTTCTAGGTAGTGGCATATAGAGAACAAGACAAAGTCATGGTGCTTATATTCCAGTGGTGGAGGGAAAGATACAAAAGAAAAAATAAACAGACCCATAATATACAGTCAGTGATAAGCACAAGGGAGCAAAATAAACAAAGTAAGGGAATAAGGTATGAAGATGGTCAGGGAAGGCTCCTAAAGGGGCGACATCTGAATGGAGTGGGGCAGGCGAGGCATGTGTGTGAAGACTGCTAGAAATAGAAGAAACAACAGGTGCAAAGGCACTGAGGTCAGGACAAGTTTGGTGTCTTTATGAAGGCCAGTATGGAGAGTGATAGGAGGTGACTTTGGAGAGAGAGCAGTCACATCAGGTAGGGCCTTGCTGGCTTATGTAAGAAGCTTGATCTCACTGTGGGTGTTTTGGAAAGCTATTGGAGGTGTTCAATCAGGGATGTGACCTGATCAGATTTCCTTACAGAAGGCAATAGTGGCTGACTGGGGAGTGGTCAGGAACAGAGAAGCCCAGTTAGGAGGTTCTAGCAGCTGTTCCTGTGAGAGAACATGGTGATCTGGATAGAATGGCAGGAGAGGAGGTCAGAATGTCCAGGGGGAGAGAGCCTCTCATGGAAGGGCTGATAGGACTTGCTGGTGGGTTAGATGTGGGCTTGGAAAGTAATCCCTGGGTTTTTGCTCAGGGCAGTGAGGTGGGTGCTTGATGGTACTGTTTCATGGATGGCAATAACTTGGGGAAGAACGGTTTGGGAAGCCACGTTTTTCTGTGCAGGTGCACATGTGGAGATTCAGGGAGCTGAGTGTGAAGGAGGGTTGGGAGTGTATACAAGAACGTGATTATACTGATGGGCCATGGGGTTTCAGGGTAAGGAGGGAAGTGAGGCCACAAAAGGGGATGATGGACAGTGAAAAGTGGTAAAGGTAATGTGCTGCTGGCTCCAACTAAGCTAAGATTTGTTGGAATGGGGATATTAGAGTTAGTGATCTAGAAGGGTAAGATGAGGTGGGCAGGGTGTGGGATCCTTGAAGATTTTGGAGGTGGTGTAGTTTTCAATAGTAATGAGGTCTGGGATGTGACCATGGGGCTAAAGTAGGGTTTAAAAGGAAAATAATTAATGGAATAAGTGAATGGATCAACGTGGATCAAGATGCCATGTAGGTGTTTGTTTTGCAGAACAGGATCGTGGACCAGTGCGAGAGGCTGCAGTTACAGAGTGCCAGCATCACCAAGTATGTGGCTGAGGTACTGCCAGGGAAGAACCAGAGAGCAGTGGTAGGTATTTCTTCCCCTTTCCCCTCAACTCTGGGTCCCCTCCTAGGATAAACCTTAGCCTTAGGAACTTGGACCAGTCTATGATTCCCTCCCAACCTCACAGGCTCATTGTGTTACCAGCTCCCAGGAAGGGAGGTTTCCCATCTCTGAGCCTTGTTTTCACCGTCTGGGCAAAGTGGATTATTCCCAGTATCACACTGGCTACAAAGACTCTGCTAGAAATGTATGTGGTAAAGGACCAGAAAAGATAGCATTCTTCTACCATCTAATTATTTTGTGTTCTTCTCCAGAATTATAAAATACCCTATCAACTGTAACACTGAGTATTCTTTATGACCATCTTATGCAGTAGCTGGAGCAACATGCCTGTTTACAGATGGGGAAATGGGTTCCATAGAGGGTAGTTAATCTGCTCAAAGTCCCACATCCTCCTATCAGAGTCAGTTCTATGGCTGCGATCTTCTGACTCCAGGCCTGTGCTCCTGTCACAGCCTATTGCTGACCCTTCATTCAGTTGACTCATTACCACAGCTACATCTTACTGTCAAGTATGCCCTTCAGGGGCAGAGGCTTTGAGTTTCTTTCTGCACACGCCCTCCCTCCTTCCCAAGTAGTACATAGGGCAGGCTTGGCACTGTCTTAGTCAAGTTCTTTTGATGGCATGGAACAGAACTCCATTGATGAACTGGCACAAGTGAAACAGGGAATCTCCTGGCAGGATACAGGAGTCTCTCAGAATCTAAAGGGGACTAGAGCCAGGAAACAGAAAGCTGTTAGGAGTCTATTTATGTAACAAATCCCTGTTGAACACCTCCCATGTGCCAAGCACTGTTCTGCCTGCGAGAGATTCAGCAGCGAACAAAACATCCGCAAATTCCTATTTTTGTGAAGCCTGTTTTCTAGTCAGGGGAGAGGGAATAATAACAAGTAAATATATGCTATGTCAAGAGATGCTAAGTGCTGTGGAGAAATACAACACAGGAAGGGTGGTTGGACATGTTGAGGAAGGGGTTGCAATTACATAGGCTGTGATCAGGAATGACCTATTTAAGAAGATAAATTTTGCACAAAATTGACAGGAGGTGAGGGAGTGGACTGTATATCTGGGGAAAGAGTGTTCCAGAGGGAATGGCCAGTGCAAAAGTCCGAAGGTGGGAGTGTATGTGTACTTGGTATGTTGGAGTAACAGCAAGAGGTAAACATGTGAGAAGGCAACAGGAGATGAAGTCAGGCGAGGAGGTGGGGATGCTGGATAGAATCCTCACTGACCACATAGGGACTTTACCTTTTAGTTAGGTAAGGTGGGAAATCATAAAGAATTTCTGAGCAGAGTAAGATATGACTGAAGATAAAAAAGGAGCACTCTGGCTGCTGTGTTGAGAAGTGAGTGTAGGTAGGGAGGGTAAAAGCAGGGAGACCAATTAAGAAATTGTTGCAGTGATCCAGGTTTGTACCTGAGTGACATTGAGGAGTGGCTGGATTCTGCATATATTTTGAAGGAAGCGACACAGGATTTGCTGATCGGTTGGATGTAGGCTGTGAGAGAAAAGGAGGAAGGGTCAGAATAACTCTAAGTTTTTTCATTTGAGCAACTGGAAGGTAGGGCAGCCGTTTACCAAGGTGGGGAAGGTCTGTGTGTGGAGTGATGGTTGGTGAAGGAGGATATTAGGAGCTCAGTTGTGGACATGTTCAACTTGAGATGCCTGTTAGATATCCAGGTGAAGATGTGGAGCAGGAAACTGCATATACAACTTGGGAGAGGGCTGAGCTGCAGATAAAAATTTGATATTCATCTGTGTGTAAATGAAAGTGTAAATTGAAAGCTATGGGAAAGGGTGATATCACTAAGTGAGTAAGTATAGATAGGAAAAAGCAGGGTTCAAGGACTGAGCTGGAGAGCGCCTCAACATTTAACCATTGAGAAGATAGGAGTTGCCAGCAACATAGACCAAGAAGGTGCAATCAGTGAGTAAAACTAAAGGGTGTTGTGTCCCACAGAGAGTTTCAAAGAGATGGGGGAGATCACTGGTGTTGAATGTGGCAGAGATATCAAGCAAGGTAAGAAATGAGAAAGGACCATTGGATTTAGTAACTCGCCTATAATTGGAGATCCTGATGAGAGGAGTTTTGTGGAGCGGTGGAGTGAAAGCCTGATTGAAGTGGGTTTCAGAGAGAATAGAAGAACAATTTGGGATAGTTGCCACAGATAGCTTTGCTGTGGATGGGAGCTGAAAAAAGGGATGATAGTGGATGGGGAATTGGGGATCAAGAGGGTTATTTGTTTTATTTGTAAGATGGGAGAAATTACATATGTATCTATGTATGCTGATCGGAATTGTCCAGTAGAGAGGGGATAAGTAATGATGCAGGAGAAAGGGGATAATCAGGGACAGCAGAGGGAGAGGGATCTAGTGAACATGGGGAAGGGTTGGCCATAGGTAAGACCATGGGCAGTTCATCCACAGAGACAGGAAGTAGAGTATATGGGCCCAGGTGCGGGTAGATGGGTAGGTGATGGGCTGAGTGTGTGGAAGTTCTCCTCTCATTGTTTCTGTTTTCCATTATTTATCACCTTTGCTGTAGGTTTTTAATGATGCCTTTTGTCAGTTTATAGATACATTTTTTTCCCCCATCAATCTCTTAATGTAATACATTTAGAGAGTTTCTAATGCTAAACCATCCTTGAATTCCTGGGGTAAACCAGCAACCTAACTTAATCATTTTTTATATATATATACATACACACGTATACATACCTATATATTTATGTGTGTGTGTGTGTGTGTATATATATATATATATGCTTTTTTTTACTTTTACTTTTGATATAATTATAGATTCACATATGGTTATAAGAGATCATCATATAGTGATGTGTCCTATAAGCTTCATCCTGTTTCCCCCAGTGGTAAAATCCTGTCTAACTATAGTACAATATCATAACCAGGAAATTGAGATTGATACAACCCACCTTATTCAGATTTCACTGGTTGTACATACACTCACTTGTACATATATTTAATTCTGTGCAGTTTTACCACATGGATAGATTGTGTGACTTCTGCCATCATCAAGATACAGAACAGTTTCATAGTGAGGATCCCTTGTGCTACCTTTTTATAGCCCCTCCCTGATACTCCTTCCCTTGTATTATGGTTATACAAAATTTCTGGGTTTGGACTGCTGATCTAAGTTTAGGACTTTTTTTGGGGGGGGGGCATCTCATATTTATTGATCAAATGGTTGTTTACAACAATAAAATTCTGTACAGGGGACTCAATGCACAATCATTAATCAACCCCAAGCCTAACTCTCAACAGTCTCCAATCTTCTGAAGCACAACGAACAGGTTCTTACATGGTGAACAAGTTCTTACATAGTGAATAAGTTCTTACATGGTGAACAGTGCAAGGGTAGTCATCACAGAAACTTTCGGTTTTGATCACGAATCATGAACTATAAACAATCAAGTCAGATATGATTATTCATTTGATTTTTATACTTGATTTATATGTGAATCCCACATTTTTCCCTTATTTTTTTTTTAATAAAATGCTGAAGTGGTAGGTAGATGCAAGATAAAGATAGAAAGCATAATTTAGTGCTGTATTTTAGGGCTTTTTAAAGGACTTTTCTTTGGTGCTCAGGAGGGAGATTAGCCTAAAGAATTTCATTTCTTATATAGTCCATATCAGTTTTTGATATTGAGGTTGCATAAACCCCATTCATTGAGTTGCGAAACAGAGCTCTATTTTCATGGGAAGAGTTTATATAAGATTGGAATTATTTGTGCCTTGAATGTTGGGTGACACCCATGTAAAACTGTCTGGGCTTGCTGATATTTTTTTTGGTAGATTATTAACCACTGATTCATTTCCCACTATGACTGTAGTATTCTTTCTCTCTCATTTTAGTAAATTTTTTCCAGAAAATTTATTTTATCTTGTTTTTAAATTTAATGGCATAAAGTTGTTCTTAATGTCAAAACAAATTGGTGCTATTTATTATGTTGTTCTTGGTCAAAATTGCTACAGCGTTGTCTATTTTGTTAGTGTTTTCAAAGAACCAGCTTTTAGTATTTTGATCCTCTCTTTTGTATCTTTAAATTTTTTTTCATTATCATCTTGTCCTAACTTTATCATTGTTTCCTTCTAATTTTGGGGGGATATATTCAGTTGTATTTTAACTTCCTGAGATGAACACATTCTACTAATTTTAGTCTTTCCTCTTTCTCAAGGTGAGCATTTAAACCATATATTTCCTTCTACATATTGATAGAGGTATACCCCACAAATTTGATGTAGTATTTTCATTTTCCTTCATTTATGCATTTTAAAAAATTTCCATTATGATTTGTTTCTTTACTTTGAGTCATTAAAGATGTATTTTTAAATATCCAAATGTATGGTGTTACTTTTTAAATTATTATCATCATTTTTATTATATATATTTTTTAACTGATTTCCAGCTTCACTACATTGTAGTTTGATGCCAATTGCTTGAAATTTGTTGAGACTGCTTCATGTCCTAATATATGGTCAGGTTAGGTGAATGTTTCACATTCACTTAAAAATGTATAGGGTCCTATATGTCTACTAATTAAGCTTATTAATTGGTTCAAATCTTCTCTATACTTACTAATTTCTTATCTGCCAGATATATTGATTACTGGCAAGGGACATTTACAGGTTCTTATATGGTGTGGGCTGGTCTATTTTTCCTTACAATTCTTTCAATGTTCTTTTTATATTTTGGTGCTATTTATTAATTATGTATAATTTAAATTTGTTATATGGGCTTGGTAAACCATTCCTTTAATCACTTGCTAGTGACCTTTTATGCCCAGGAATTCTTTTTGCCTTAAGGTCTAATTTGTCCTTTATTCATTACTATACCAACAAGTATTTTCCTGATACATGGTTTTCTTTCCTTTTACTTAAAATTTTCTATGTTCTTAGGTTTTAGGAGTCTCTAGTCACTGGATTTTGTTTCACTTTATTAAAAAAATTCAATCTTATGATTCCTGCCTTTTAACTAGGGAATTTAATTCATTTATCACTATACCTGGATTTATAGCTATCATTTTGTTTTATGTTATCTATTTGGTCTACTTTTTATATCTTTTTTTTTCCTTTACTGTCTTCTTTTGGGGTGATCAACCCCTTCTCCCTCTTTTCTCCTGTGCTTGTCTGGAAGCCATACATCCTATTTATGGTTTCTTTCGGTACCATTCAGATTTTAACAACAAATATGTAATGTCTAAAATGAATCTCAGTGAATAATACAAGTACTGTAAGAATGCTTTACCCCTATAACCCCTCTGGTCTCACATGTTGTTCAGTATTTTAGTTTAGTTCATGTTTTAATAAATTCTTCCCATTCATAGGAAATATTCCTTTTCCAATTAGAGAGGTCCTTATTGTGCTCTCATGTTTGTATGATGGTTAGATGAGTATAAAATTCTGAAGTAAATCACAAGCCCCGCCCAGGGCAGCTGAGTCCTCAGCTCTTGATTATGCTGGTTTTCAGTTTCCTTTCCACTGTTGGGCTCTAGGGACTTTCCTTTACTGAGCTGTCAGAGCAGCTTCACTTTTTATTTTTTTATTAAGGTATCATTGATATACGCTTTTACGAAGGATTCATGTGAAAAACAATGTGGTTACTAATTCACCCATATTATCGAGTCTCCCCCATGCCCCATTGCAGTCACTGTCCATCAGTGTAGTAAGATGCCACAGAGTCACTACTTGTCTTCTCTGTGCGACACTGTCTTCCCCATGATCCCCCCCACACCATGTGTACTAATCATAATACCTCTCAATCCCCTTCTCCCTTCCTCCCCACCCACCTCCCACACCCCTCCTCTTTGGTAACTGCTAGTCCCTTCTTGGAGTCTGGGAGTCTGCAGAGCAGCTTCACTTCTAAGAGGATGCTTTGGGCAGATTTTCCAGCAGTTCTGTGTTTTGTTCTTGTTGGGTTTTTTTGTTTATTCTGGTATATCTTTGGAAAGGGGAGTTTTCTGTTCTCCTCTGTTATTCCTTTCTGGGAATGACTCAAGAAATTTGTTGAAACTGACTGCAGTCTTCTCCTCAGGGAGTATACCTGATACATCTTGGGTCAGGGTCTGTTCTTGATCCTGATTACTAGTACAAACATGGCTGCAGAGCCCCATCCCTGTGGGGAAGGCATCAAGGTGGGACAGAGAAGAGCAATAGCTAATGTTATTGAACACTTCTGTGCTGGGCTTTGTTCTATTACTTTTATGCATATTAACTCATTTAATTAACTCAAAATAGCCTTATGGGATAAGTGCTGTTATTACCCTCATTTGACAGATTAGAAAACTGAGGCATAGGGAAGATAAGTCACATGATGAAAGTTCCACAGATAGTAAAGGGAACAGCTAAGCATTAAACTTAGGCACGGTCCCCAAAGCCTAATTTCCTAGCCAATATTGTTAAGCTGCCTCAGGGAAACACTGAAGCTGGAGTCCCCAGGAATGTATAAACTCTGGTTTCACTTGGCTTTTCTCTTAGCCACTCTCTCTTCCCCACTGGGCAAACTGTGGGTCTCAGTTTCTTCTGTAAAACAGGGATAATTATAAAGGGTTGACATCCAAAATGTATAAAGAGCTCACGCACCTCAACAAACAAAAAGTGAATAATCCAATTAAAAAATGGGCAGAGGAGCTGAACAGACAGTTCTCCAAAGAAGAAATTCAGATGGCCGACAGACACTGGAAAAGATGCTCCACATCGCTAGTCATCAGAGAAATGCAAATTAAAACCCCAATGAGATATCACCTCACAGCGTAAGGATCGCCACCATCCAAAAGACAAACAACAAATGTTGGTGAGGTTGTGGAGAAAGGGGAACCCTCCTACACTGCTGGTGGGAATGTAAATCAGTTCAGCCATTGTGGAAAGCAGTATGGAGGTTCCTCAAGAAGCTCAAAATAGAAATACCATTTGACCCAGGAATTCCACTTCTAGGAATTTATCCTAAGAATGCAGCAGCCCAGTTTGAAAAAGACAGATGCACCCCTATGTTTATCGCAGCCCTATTTACAATAGCTAAGAAATGGAAGCAACCTAAGTGTCCATCAGTAGATGAAGGGATAAAGAAGATGTGGTATATATACACAATGGAATATTATTCAGCCATAAGAAGAAAACAAATCCTACCATTTGCAACAACAGGGATGGAGCTGGAGGGTATTATGCTCAGTGAAATAAGCCAGGTGGAGAAAGACAAGTACCAAATGATTTCACTCATATGTGGAATATAAGAACAAAGAAAAAACTGAAGGTACAAAACAGCAGCAGAATCACAGAACCCAAGAATGGACTAACAGTTACCAAAGGGAAAGGGACTAGGGAGGATGAGTGGGATGGGAAATATAAGGGTGGGGAAAAAAGAAAGGGGGCATTACGATTAGCAGGTATAATGGTGGGGGGGCACAGGGAGGGCTGTGCAACACAGAGAAGACAAGTAGTGATTTTGCAGCATCTTACTACTCTGATGGACAGTGACTAATGGGGTATGTTGGGACTTGGTGAAGGGGGGAGTCTGGTAAACATAATGTTCCTCATGTAATTATAGATTAATGATACCAAAAAAAAAAAACAGGGATAATTGTCTCCTGCACACTACAAAGCAGATCTTCAGGGGCTGGGCAGGGAAAGCTTCTGGCTATCTGACTTCCTGGCATGAAGGAGACTGTTCTACTCTCAAATGTCTGGCAGGAGTACAGATGCTTCATGTACCAGATGCCTTTGGAGAGGACTGGTGGCAGTCCTGGTAACTTTGGGTTACCAGTTGGCACTGGTGTAGGACATCGTGTTGGACTGAGAGTCAGGAGACCTGGGATCTAGTCCCAGCTCTGTCAGTGACTTGACATAACACTACCAAGAGACTTTTGACTAAGTTGGAAAAAACTTTCCCATCAGTCATTCAATAAATATTTGAGTACCTGTGGTGTGCCAAACACTGTGTGAATTGCTAGGAGACACATGTTAACTTCATTGGCTGAGAAATTGATTCCAGGCCTCCTGCATGGCAAGTAAGAATTTTACTATGGAAGCACATGCAATGGGCTAGGAAAAATCCAGGAAAAAATGAGTTTTTTGTGCTCAGATATGGTCAAAATATCAGCTGGACTATTGTTAGTTCAGATCCTGATGATGGAGATGAGCTTGGCCTTGGTATTTCCAACTATAAAATAAGCAAGTGATTCTAGTTGGTTTCTAGGCCCTGCCGAGCTCTTCCTGTGATCCTGGCTCCATGAGATATGACCTGTATGTCTGGATCTCAAATTTCTTTACCTTAGACCATATTTGGGAACTCATAAGGCTTAAACACGATTACTTCCATTACTGTGCCTGTGGCAGACATTGCTAATCAATCCCAGCACTCCTTCCCACTGAATGCAGACCCTCTAATCTTGACTGGGACTTTGCCAGGACCCAGCTCCTTGTTTCATCCCTTGTCAGAGTACGGCCAGCGCAGCACGGGACCTGGTCATCCAGCGGCTGAGTCTGGTGAGGAGTCTGTGTGAGAGTGAGGAACAGCGGTTGCTGGAACAGGTGCATGGTGAAGAGGAGCGGGCCCACCAGAGTATCCTGACACAGAAAGTACACTGGGCTGAGGCACTGCAGAAACTCGACACCATCCGCACTAGCCTGGTGGACATGCTCACCCATCTGGATGACCTTCAGCTGATTGTAAGTCAGGCAAGGGTTGGGGCATGACCAGCTGGCCAGACTTCCCAGGGTCTGAAAACATGGAGAGTGTTTATTGGTAGAAGGTGGGTAGATAATGATAATTTGGAGCAGGGATGAAGCAGGGGAATAAAGTTATACAGATTTTTTTTGCACCTGATAACTCTTCTTTCAATAGTGAGCAAATATTTCCTGAATGCCTACTATGTGCTAAGCATTGTGCTATGGGGTGGAGTTGTAGGATATAGCTGTCAGCAACTCACAGCCTTAAAAAGAGATGAATGTATAAACCGATAATTAAGATGTGGAGGGATAGGTCCTATGGTAGAGGACATCACTGGGACTGGGAGATAGGGACCCCACAATCCAGACCTGAGGGTGGTGTGGGGAAGTGGCTTAGAAGCTGATGCCTGAAAGCTAAGGGTAGCAACTACGTTAAAGCAAGTGGACAGGCAGAGTGAGTTCAGAAGCACAGAAACAGTTCTGCACTCAGGGGAGCTGACAAGGGGTCCAATATGAAAATATGGAGCTCATCCTTAACCCTACAACCTGCACATACCATGATTAATATCTTGGTACATATCCTTTCCAAGTATTTTATATAGATATGCAGATTGATAGCCGCAGTTTTAAGGGGACAGTGTGACATCTAAGTACATATGCCAAGCAGAGGAATGTGAATATGGGACAACTGAGCTGTCCCACTGCAGTCCAGTAGGGCAGTTTCCATAACTGCCCTAGATCGTGCATTCAGTTAGTGACACAGCTTCCATATATGAGCACATTCGTTCCAAACACTGGGACAGTCACAGTAGAAGATTCAGAAAGAGTCCCTGCCATCTAGGAGCTGACAGTCTTGTTGGGGGTAAATATGTGATTGTCCTGAGGCATAGCTGAGGGAGACTCAGGATGTCCCCAGGCACAGGGGACAGTGACTTATCTCTGATTGTATGATGGGGGAGGAATGCAGAGAAGAACCCATAGAGCTTTGTGCTGGGTCTTAAAGAAGGAGTTGAATTTTTTATTCTAGAGTCTCCGTCCATGTGGAGACCTCTACAACAGTTGAATATATTCAAATTTTGACTACCTGCTGGGTTTCTGGTCCTAAGACTGACTCTGTTTTCTTTTCTCACAGCAGAAGGAGCAGGAGATTTTTGAGAAGTGAGTATGGCCGGTAACTTGCTCAGGCGGTCACAGAGCTCATGGCCCTTAGGCCTCTGCTAGTTCACTGCGTTCAGGCCCTGCTGCTCTGGGAGAAAGCCCAGGGTGTGCGGCTGAGTGGCTTCCCCAGACAGGGGTCTTCCTACCCCTAGCTTGGAGAATTGCCGTAGACCCAATGTGGAAGGGCACTGAAATAAATACTTATCAATCAGAGGCTTGCCACAGGCTTTCTTAAAGGTTATCCTGTTTAAAAATGTATAGGCCCCTTGTTGGAGCATTTTATCACCCTCTCTACAGGTGAGAATGCCAAGGCTCAAAGAGGGGAAGGAACTCGCTAAGCACCAGGGCTGGGACTTGGACCCCAGCAGACACCTGGGCCAGTACTGTCTTCTATGTCACTCCCCCTTTCTCTGATGAAAAAATCTTTAAAATGTAAGTCTACAATGCCCCTCAAAATTTCACTTGAATTATGCAGTAGTAATAACAGGATTTCACCAGGCCCTACCTGGAGAGCCAAGAGCCGGAGGAAGTGGCCAAGAGGATATAATTTGCCAGGCAAACAAATTAAATTTTTACATCCTCTGTGTGAGGTTTCAGAGCAGTACTTGGGGAGCACAGTCCATTCTCATCCTTATATTTAAGTTTCAATAGCAATACCTGGGCATGAGAGAAAGAAAAAAAATTCCACCAGTATAAAACTATTTAAAATAAAACATATCTGCATCACCCCTTTGTAATCCTATTCCATAGAGGTGGTCAGTTTTAACAGTTAGATGTGTGTCTTGTGGGTTTTCCTGTATATAGTCATAGGAGAGTATGGGGTAGGGGGGATTGCCTCTTAAAAAATTGTTTTTTAAATACAGATAAGATTGTTTTGTATTTGGCTATCTTGGAATCTTTTCATGTCAGTACATATAGATTTACGTCATTTTTTGGAAAGTCTATGAAGTATTCCACAGGGTGGGTGCACCTAAATTTATTTACTGTCTCCTTTGTGTGCTTGGCTTGTTCCCACTTTTCCCCTCTTACAACCTTTCCACATTTGTGCTAGTCTTCTCTTTCTCTTCATCTTACCCTAATACAGTCTGTCTTCAATATCAAGCTGATCTGGTTTTTGAAAAAAAATCGTGATCTTAATTTTTTGTCTTGAAATATTTCAAACTTATAGAAAAGCACAAAAACAGTATAATGAACCTCATCTAGAAATACTAATTGTCAACATTTTGTCACATTTGCTCTCTCTTCCTATCTTTAAATACATATATAAAAAACATTTTTTTCTGACCTATTTGAAAGTTGCAAAAAGCATGAGTTTTTTCCCCTGAATCCTATAGCATTTATCTCCTAAGAACAAAGACATTCTCTTAGATAACCAGAGTATAATTATTATTAAGGTCAGGATATTTAATTTTGATATAAGACTATTGTCTAATATATAGTCCATGTACAAATGTTACTGCTTGTGCCAAAAGGGTTCTTAACAGTGTTTGGTGGTGGTTTTTTTTTTTCCTGATCCACTTGGCCTATTTTAATCTGGAATTGATCCTTAACTAAAACACACACACACACACACACACACACACACACACACATATAAAAAAAAAGTCTAGGAAAGTTATTTCATAGAATATTCCTCAGTTTGGGTTTATCACATCACCTCAAGATTAGGTTCAGGTTATGCATTTTTGGAAGGAATATCTCATGAGTGATGTGTCCTTTGTCCATTATTTCAGGGGACATGTGATGTCACTTTGTCCCATTATTAAGGATCTTAATTTTGATCACTTGGGTATAGTGGTACGTGCCAGGTTTCTTCATTTTAGAGTTACAGCTTCCCTTTTGTAATTAATAACCAACTAAGGATATATTTTCTATGTACGTAGCCTTTTACCCTTTGACTCAATGGTTTTAGCATCCATTGATGCTAAATAAATGAACAAGCAAGCAAATAAAGGAATAACTCAAACAGGAATAATTTTTCTATTTGCTTGTTTGTTCATTCACATGTTTAGCATCAATATGGACTCATGGATTCTTATTTTATGCAAAGCATTATAATCTGCTAGTGTTGTCATTAATTTTGTTCTTAAAACTGTTCTAGATTTGGCCAGTAGAAGCCCCTTCAAGCTGAATCCTGTGTCCTTTTGACAAGTTCCATCATTCTTTGAGAATTTTCTTGCTTTCCAGCCCAAGAAGATATTCCAGACTCAACTTGTTCTTTTCCTGCCTCAACCTGGAATTAGCCGTTTCTCCAGGGAGTTCCTTTTGGTGGGGAATCATTTAAAAACCAAGGTCTGGGCCTTAGGTGTGCACATTGCTACTAATGTGTCATTGCTTTCAGGCCTTCTCAGTGGACAGCAGACAGCTGGGAGGTGTGTATGTGTGTGTGTGTGTAATCTTTTTATTCATGAGTCTGTATCACAACTTCTCATCCCATTTGAACACCACAGGGTTTTTTCTTTGCCTCTCCCCCATTCTATATTTTTATCTTTCTTGTTTCTTAGTGAGGACCCCTGGCTTCCAAAAACATCAATATGTTTATTCATTTGTCCAATCCTACAATACACACAAAGTTGTTTGAGAATTGCTCAACTTACACTACTACTGACAAACCTACTAAAAAGTTCAAGATCTGTTTGTAGTTCTTGAGACTGCAGGTGTATATTCCCAGAATACTGTGTTCAAAAAGCCCCTTCTAGCTGAGAAGTCATTTGTCTGAGAAACGCCGTTGTTGGCTCCGGTGCTGGCTCCGCATCCATGCCTGGGCAGAGCTCTGGCTGGCCACGGCAACGGGTCCTGCTGCGCAGACGGGGCATTCTGATCCCAGCCAAGGCCCAGCTGTGTCTGAGCCCCATTTAATTTCCACCCCTTTGGGCTCACAAGATTTCCATTCTGTACCAGGAGGTAGCTGGTCCAGCTGGTTCTCTAGACTCTACTGTCTACACTTGGCCTCAGATTTGTCCTCCTGACACTGGCTCCCCTATACTCCCCACCTAATGGCTGGGGCGCCTGCAGGGCCAGCCTTAGTGCTCTGAGAGGATGGCAAGAGACCCTCTCTTGTCCTGAGCACAAAGAGCCTTTGTTGCCAGAGCCTGGGCTCAGCTTTCCTGGAGCTCTTTCCCCCTCCTTCCTCCCAAGCCAGGACAGTCAGTAACAGGCTTGCAAAGAGCTCCCATCCAAGAGGAGACGCGCCACCCCGGCTCCCTGTTCCTTAACTCATGGGCGGAGCCATGAGATTTGGAGAAGAGAGTTGAAAAGAGCTTGCTCTCCGAACGGCTGCCTGATCCCAAAGCCATCTTCAGGATTAGAGGCGACGGGAAAGTTTCTCCTCAGGAACTGGTTCAAAGTTCTGCAAAGCTCTGTGGTGAATCCTCACCTTGCCCTACACCCCTTCGAGATTTTACTTCAGGTTGAAGGAAAAATTGTGTTGAATGTTGTCCAGTCGTCCATAGATAGTTTGTTCTGTTTTTGCCTGGAGATAACACTTGAATCCAGCTCCCCTTTTTAGATGAGTATTTTCTCTGAATCTCTGTCCTTTCCTGTCAAATGGGATCGCAACTACCTCCCAGGTTATAGCAACAGTTGTGTGAGATTCTGTGAGAAAACAGCAAGCGCAGAGTCAGGCTGCTTCGTACTGCTTAATGCCAAGCCAGTTCTCCCCTCCCAGGTATCTCATGTTTCCCCAAACCCTCCACAAAACCCAGTCCCCGCTGTGAGCTGGGGAGAGGCAGTGACTGGGAGCAAAGTGCCGTGACTGATTTATAGTTGGGGTGATGACTGGTAGTCCCTTCCTGTGTGACCCCTCATGGGTGTTTGCATTAAGAGCAGGGAGCAGCTGAGCCTTCTGACCAAACCGATAGGTTTCACTGCCAAAAGTTTTGAAGGGAGGTGAGATTTTCTCCACACAGGATGGTCGAGTGGGAAGACTGGTGCCCAGATGTTCAGGCCCTAGTCCCAGCTCTGCCACTGACTTCCTGAGAGACACAGCAGGTTGCTTCAACAGAGCACACTGACTCCCAAGTTCTGATACCGGCTCCAAGTATATGCCTCCCTGGAAATTGAGTGCCTTGCTGGAATTAAGACTCCTGGGGTACACAGGGAGATCACCCACCCTTCCTTTTGACTCAAGCCCCATTTAGGGGCCTCCTATGTGGGGTCTGGCTTGCCAATCTTGATGTCACCTCCATGGGAAGAGGATTTTACTTCTGTCCCCCTTCTGTCCCCCTGTATTGATCCAGATACATTTCCAGAATCTTCCTGAATCTCTGTTTTTTTCCTGCACAAGGACTGAGGAAGCAGAGGGCATTTTGGATCCCCAGGAGTCGGAAAAGTTAAACTTCAATGAGAAGTGCACTCGAAGCCTACTACTGACCCAGCTCTGGGCAACAGCGGTGCTTGGGTCCCTCTCAGGTTAGGAGCGTCTGGAGCCCAGCCCCAGCTGTAACAGCTGCGCCTCTGTCTGTCTTGGGTTTGCTGCTGGACCATACTGGAGACCAGTGCTTCTGCAATGGTAGTTTAAGCAACCAGTGGTGCTGGATACAGGCTGCTCAGTGGGGCCAAGGTTCTGAACAGGCCTGGGGCAGTTGGGCCAGGTCCTTCCTGTTGCCAGACCAACCTGTTCTGTGGTCGGGGCTAGGGTAAATTGGTTCCTGTAAATCACGTCCTTCAATATTGTTTCTTGGAAACCTAGCTTCTCTTCAAGGAGATATAATTAATGGCCAAACAGTGAGCATCTGGAACAAGAACTGAGCTGCCTGGATCTGCCTCCCTCACTTAACATTCACTCAGGCTGGCCTGGCCTTGTGCTGTGTGCTGGGGCCCCAAAGGTGAAGGTGACAGTCTCCTGCCTTCAGGAATTCCCACTTAGTGCTGGGGTTATCAAAGCAGGCTCTCCCCAAGCTGGACAGGGGCTTCCATACTCCCAGTTGTCCTATTTACATAATTCACTGGAAGGTTAGGTCAAGGGATTGACTTTTTTCTTAATTTTAACCCTTGTATCCTGCATATTATCCTTAAAATGTTAGTGCAAGTTATAGTTTGTTGTCTCTAGATTCTGGTGTCACATAATGCTTGATTTGCCAGCAGGCCCACCGAGTCAGTTATTGGAAACCGTATATCTGATATTTCCTGGGCTCTAGGGGCTTTGTCCCTAGGACAAGTCTGATCTGGAGGTTGCAGGTAGGCCAGCTAGAGTGCAGTGAGGAGTGCTAAGTGCTAGATGTAGGAACAAAATGCTAGATCTTCATTTTGCTCCTGCTACAGCTTGCTGTGTGACTTTAGCCAACTTGCTTCTCTTCTCTGGGCCTTATTTCAATCAGAATTTTCAGATGGTCTTATATAAAACCAGCTACTGTTACCATGGCCACAATTTTTTGAGCATGTATTAGTGCTAGGCCTTTACATGTATCATCTCATTTGATTCTTATGTTTACCCTATGACAAGTACTATTTTGATACCCATTTTACAGATGAGGAAACTGAGACTCAGAGAGTAAGTAGTACTTACCTATAGGCTTACCTATGGTCACATTACCAGTGAGTGGTGAGGAAGCCCTAAGTACCTGGCAGCACCAGGTTAGGACTGAGGCGGGTACTTTGGGCAACTCTGAATTCTTTCTGGCAGGCACGGAGGATGTGCGTATTGACGAGAGGACTGTCGGCCCCTTCTTGCAATTGTCAGACGATCGAAGGACCCTGACCTTCAATGCCAAGAAGTCCAAGTCCTGTGCAGATGGCCTGGAACACTTTGACCACTGGCCCAATGCTCTGGCTGCCACCTCCTTCCAGGCTGGGCTGCACACATGGATGGTGAACGTCCAGAACAGTTGTGCCTATAAGGTGGGCGTGGCCTTAGGCGAGCTGCCCCGCAAGGGTTCTGGCAATGACTCTCGTCTGGGCCATAATGCCTTCTCCTGGGTCTTTTCCCGCTATGCCCAGGAGTTCTGTTTTTCACACAATGGACAGCATGAGCCCTTGGGGCTGCTGCATTGCCCAGCCCGGCTGGGTGTGCTGCTGGACTTACAGGCACAGGAACTGCTTTTCTATGAGCCAGCCTCAGGCACAGTGCTGCACGCCCACCACGCATCCTTCCCTGGGCCCCTCTTCCCAGTCTTTGCTGTGGCCGACCAGACCATTTCTATCATCCACTGACCTGTGGCCACAGGGAGCCCAGATCTACCTTCCCACTGCCCTTTCAGGCTGTGGTCCCACTGAGTCCTTTTCCCAAATGGTGCCTCTGCCTAATGGGCAGCTTTTTGAGGGGTAGGGATCTGTTTCAGATTTGGGTACAACCATTAAATGCTGGGTGTCTGTGAGGAACCTGCTACTCCCTAGGCCTTGGTCTCCCGAATCCACCATGCATCTGCCTCTGAGGGAGTCCGGTTCATCACTTTATCTCTGGCATCCAGCATGGTGCCCCGTGGACACTGAGTATGCAATAAGTATTTGGTGAGCGAGTGGCTGGCTGGCTGGATAGGTGGGTGGACAGGTGACTTGGGTGCATGTAGGAGACTCCTCTGGAGAAGCACTGCCTCCCAGCTCCCTTCCCCCAGCTTTGAGCATGTAGCAGCAGTTCTCTGGCGGAAAAGCCTGTGGCTGAAGCCCTTTCATCCTCTTGTTTCAGTGCTTCTCAATCCTTTTCATGACATGGCACATAGAGAAAATATTTTTCTCATACAAGGACAATCTGAAAGGGATTTAGAACTACTGCCAGGCTGCTCCTGGCCAAAGGACTCTGGCCTGGAAGGCGGGCAGCAGCACTGTGCCTGCCCCCCAGGTCCTGCCGGTCACTTGGAAGATTGAGGGGGGTCCTACCTCCAGCTGACTTGCGTGCAGCACACCTGTCCGCTCTGCCTCAGACTCTGCAGCTGAACTCCAGCCTGTGACCACCCATGGCAACTGGGACGAACTTTTCCCCTGACTTCAGCTGATGAGTGGGCCCTCTGACATAATGTGGAGACCTGGAGTGAAGGCTACAAGCCAGAAAAAGCTGAGTAAGAGGGCCTTAGGGAGCATGTATGTGATTAAAGTTTTAAAAGATTGAAAAATTTCTTCCATGTTCTTTGTTGGTACCTTGGGCAAGTCCCCCAAGTACCAGCTCAGATCCTGGAGGTACATTTGCTGGAAGTCAGTCTTCCTCACTGTCACCCATGTTTCCATCTATAAGCCGGTGGCAGCTCAGCAGACAGAGCTGAAAGAGCCTGACGATGGTCCTGTGCACTCCAGTGCTGGGACCAGTTCCTCCCTGTTCTCTGAGGGTCACATTAGAACAGCAGTCCTCACATTTGTTTCGTCTGACAACACAGTTCAAAGGCGATCTTATCTACAACTTCAGACTCCTGGCCTCGATGGGGGCTGGAGCCCTCCCCACTCCTAAGTTTGTTCAGTAATTTATTTGAAACGTTGGGGGCATTGAATCCAATCCAAAGACCTATTAGCTACCTCTTTGGTTGAGATGACTTTTGAGGCCTTTGCAGTTCAGAGACCACAGCTCGACCCATATCCCCAGTCTGACACTCAAGAATTAATGTTGAGTCATCTGGCCTTGGAACCAAGCCCAAGGAAGGACCCAGAAGAGGTCTGACCAAGAGAGAACGTCCCTGCCTTTGCCTGGGTGCAGTCTGTGCCCCAAAACCTCCATCAAAGCCCAGCTCTTCTGCATGGCACCTCAAGGCTCCTATGCCATGCTCCCAAATGGCCCATCTAACTCCTCACAGCAGCCTTCGGTCCACAGTTCATAGGCCTGCTGCCACTCCCAGTTCAGGGTCACTCCACAGAGTTCTTGGTTGGGGAAACCTATGGCATCTCCTATGCCTGGCACTGAGCACAGAGGTGTCTGGTAAAGTAGGTGTGAGGACACGAAAGGCAAAAAGAGACATGGAATTTTAAAAACCCAGCCTACTTCAGTCTCCAGTGACTCCCCCAAATTCCCTGCACTCCGGCCACCTTGAGCCTCCATCTGTTACCCATGCTTGCCTACTCTCACACTAGTCCCTATGACTGGGGTTCCCTTCAAGACTGACATCCTTTAGGACACCTTCCATATTCTCCCAGGATCTCCACTGCACCGTATCTCACAGGACATAGAGCCCTTGCCACTTACAACCTAGCGATCAAGCTAATGAGCTTTGGAGTCAGACATGGTTAAATTGGAACCGTGGCTCCCTCACATACTAGCTGTGACCTCAGGCAGGCTACTTAACCTCTGAATCTGATTCATGTATAAAGGGATGTCATACTATGTACTTCACTAGGTAGTTTTGAGTGTTATACAAAGGACTAGTGCACTACTTTAGACATGGCAGGCATAAAAGTTTCTTCTGATACTATAATTAAGGTGTTCTTTGTCTAGTCTCGTTCAGTGGACCTAGAGGATATCATACCAAGTGAAGTAAGTCAGAGAAAGACAAATACCGTATTTCATTTACATACGAAATCAAGATAAATGATCCATCAAAACAAATAAACTCATAAATACAGAGAAGAAACTTGTGGTTGCCAGAGGGTTGGAAAGTTAGGGGATGGGCAAAATTGGTGAAGTGTATAAAGAGATACAAACTTCCAATTATAAGTTATGGGGATGAAGAGTACGGCTTAGGGAATATAATCAGTGATATTGTAATAACTGTATGGTGACATGCTAACCACTCTGACAATGGTGAGCATTTTGTAATGTATATAATTGTCGAATCAGTTATATATCTGAAACTAATTGTGTATCAAATATACATCAGTAAACAATTTTTCTAAATCCTCTTGAGCTAATAAAAATCTGTGGAGACTATAGTCCTAGAGGACATGTCCCTATAGCACAACTTAACATCCTGATTTCCAAACTAAGCTCTTCTGACAGGCTTCCCAGGGGTAGAGTTGGAGAGGCTTCAGGGCCTGACCTAGGGGCTCTAGGACTTCCACTTTTACCTGGGCAGTTTCTGGCTTTTCCTGTTTTGCATATTGGAGTTCTGCATAGGATCTCTCATGACCAAAGGGCCCTGCTGTTAAAATGAAGTTTGAAAGTGGCTGTTTTTGAAACTAGTTGGGCCCTCAGTGAATCTTGTTCATACTGAGGGGAACACGTGGTGGAAAAAGGACACAGGTGTGATGAACCATTTCAGAGACCAGGAACTGCTTTGTAGTTAGAATACCTTACACAGGCTGCAGAGGAAGGCAAAAGCCCCATCTCAGAAAGGAAGGCGTCTGTCTCCAGTGTTTATTAGGCCCAGCCACTTCCCTTGCTAAGGTCCTGGGGGTGAGCCCTCCAGGCGGTCAAGGGCAGGCAGGAGATGGGACAGTGAAGGGAGGATGTGTTCTCTGGGTACAGAATCCTTGACCACAGGGTCCAAAGGTCCTGGGCCAACCACCAGGAAGCTGTGCATGCCTACAGCCTGTGCTCCCTTATAATCACAGTGGTAATTGTCCCCAATATGGGCTGCTACTGCCGGTTCCACCTGAGCAAGTTGCAAGGCCTCATGGAAAATGCGGGAGTTTGGCTTGGGCCAGCCGGCAGCCTCAGAAGTAAGCACAAAGTCGAAGTGTTCCCGCAGGCCAAGACCCACCAGGATATCTTCTAACCGCCGGTCAAAGTTGGAGACCACTGCCAGCCTAAGACCTCGTTTTCGGCACCCCTTCAGGGTGGATTCAGCCCCCTCCAACACCTGCCAGGTGCAGGGTTTGCTGAAGTCCTTGTACAGCTGGTTGGCAATGGAGGCCACAGTCTGAGCATCCTGAATACCTGCTATGTGGAAAGTCTGCAGGACCACATCCAACCACCACTGGCAGGAGGTAAGACCATGGCTCAGGCCGTAGTTGGGGAACCTGTGGCTCTGAGCCCTGAATGCCTGCCCAAAGGCCTGTTCCAGGGTGGCTGCCTCTACCTCCAGCCCATGGGCCCGGGCCTTGGTGGCATATTCTTCTCCCACAGGACGGCGGATCCTGAGCAGTGTGTCCTTCACATCCCATGTCAGCAGTCTTATCTGTAGCCGGTGTATCATGGGTCTGCAGGAGGGGGCCAAGTCTACTCCAGGTCTGCCTCAGGTCCCAGAAGCCAAAGGGAAACTCGGCTACACAGATTACCCCTCCACAACTTAAAGGTCTTCTCTTTCCGGGCCTCATGGGTCAGATTTCCTGGCACTTGGCTGACATCATCACAGCAGATCCTGGAATGAGATGGCAGGTGAGGTGGAAATTCAGGCCTTGCAGTCAGAGACAGACTGGGTTAAAATTCTGGCACTGACAACTCACTGTGTCACCCTAGAAGTGTCACTGAATCTGTCTCTTCATGTCAAAGAGGAGCACAATAACCCAGCCTCACAAAACTGGACTAATGAGACCATCTGTTCATTCCACAACAAATTTATGAGTATCTATTATGTGCTAGATGCTAGGGAATAGGACAGATTCTCACCCTCATGGTGTTTATAGGCACTAAAGAATAGGGATACAGATATTAGACAAAGAACTGCATAAACACTTAAGCATAAAGAAGGCAGCGTGTACCACAAGGATATAAATCCAGGGACCCAATCTAGTCTTTCTTGTCAGGGAACTTCCTACCAAAGTGAAGAAGTTTCAGTGGGGATCTGAAGAATGGCAGTGCAGGAAATGGAGTTGGGTAAGTGTTCTTGACCCTGGAAACAGCAAGTGCAAAGGCCCTGAGGCAGGGCAAGAAGTCCAGTGCGTTGGGAAGGCAGGGCTTTGTAGGTAAGGAAACAATTATTATGTCCACTATTAGTATTGTTAGCAATGTCAAAGACAGAAGGGTCCTTGCAGACCATATGACCAATTCCCTGACTCTTTTTAGGGAGGACTGAGCCAGAGAGGGGCAGATACTTGCCTAAGAAGAATCAGTGGCACACCAGTAGAACCCAAACTTCCAGACTCTGGCCCATGTGCTCTTCCCTCGTGCTTAGACCTATTTGGATTTTTAAAGAATCTGAATTTGGTGAACCTGTATAGCACACGGTAAAAGGCAGGACAGAGCAGCCTAGCCCTACCTGTTTCTAAGCCTCTCTGAGCCCCAGCCTCATCTTTACTGAAGGCAGTGTCTGGCTGGGTGGAGAGCCAAGGAAATGGGTCCTCAGTGCACACAAAACAAATTCCTCAGCCTGTTGTCCAGAGGTTGGATGCAGCTTCTTTTCGCCTAGTTACTTACAGATAGCCCAAGGCTGTCTAGTTGAAACCTGATGGGCCAGAGTTCAGAGGGCAGCCAAGTTGTTGCTGAGGAAGGGATGGGGCCAGTGAATCTGGGGACAAGCCTGAGAGGAAATCGGCCAAGGATATCAATTTAAGTCAGTCTGGAAACTAGGGAGCGCTATCCAAACACCCTCTCACTTTGCAGGTGGGTGGATGGAGGGCGGGGGGAGCTCGCCCAAAGTCACACGGGGTCTGTGGGTCAGCTAAGACGAGAACAAAGGGTTCCCGACCTACAGCGATTTCCATTTCTGGAGCCAGAATGGCGGCCTCTGCACTGCAGGATCGTTCAGCCTTCCCCCCCACCTCCGGAGCTCCGCGGCGGCAAAATCCAGGTAGCCCGCCCTTCAGCGAAATCTCTACAGCTGCCCCGTGCGGGGGAGCGGGGCGGGAGGGTCCTGCGGACGCCTGCCGTGGCTGCGGCCCGGCTCCCGGGTGCCCTTCCCAGCCCCAGCACGCTCCGACGGCTGGCCGCCGGTTTCCGGGCCCAGGACCTACCTGCCGCGCGGGGAAGCCGCCAGGAAGGAAGCCGCAGCCGCACCCGACCCAGGACAGGAGCAGAGCTCAGCCGCGGACGCAGCCACTGGGCCCGCCCCCCGCGCGGCGCCCGCTGCCCTCCGCGGCCCGCGCGCCGCCCCTACGCCGTGGCCGCCCTCTTGCTCTCGCTGCCTCAGCCTCTGCCGCCCCTCCGCTGCCCCCCGCCCTCTCCGCTCGCTGCCCTTGCTGCTCCCGCTCTCCTCCCCGCGCTCCTCATTCCCAGGGCGTTCTGTCACCCTCCCCGCCCCTCCGTGAGACCCCACCCTCTCAGTTCCCCATCCCGCCCCCTTTTGCCCCCCACGCCACGTCTCACCGTCATCTTGCACCCTTCCCGTCCTCTATGCGGACCTACCCTCGCCGTCTCCCCCAGCTTTCTGAGCTCCCTCCGCTCCTCCTTCCCTTTTTCCCAGGCTCCTTTGCCTCCCCTGGATCTGGACACCCCTGGGAGGTGCTCAGGCTGACTTGGGAAGAGGGGGCTTGCTGAGTGCTGTGTGGACTTGGGCAAGACGCTGCCCCTCTCTGGTTTGAGTCTCCAATCAGTACCAGGAGGGAATTGCTTTCATGGTGGGAACTTGTCTGAACCAAGATGTTTTGCTGAGGGTAGAGTCCTCTGCAGTAACCTAGCTCTTTGATTAAAATAATAATTATTATTATGCTTATATAAAAAAATGTTTAAAAATACAAAGTGTACAAGTAAAAAACAAAAGCCCTACATCATTCACTAACTACTCATTGAGCATTTCTGCTCTGTGTCTGAACCTTCCCTTCACTGAGGCTATGGTGGGAAACAAGAGGGTTCCTGCTTTTATGGGACATGGGAGGGGCAGACAAAACTCATGTAAACAAACAAGATTTCAAGTAGCAAGGAGTGGTATGGAGGCAATAAAACAATCGTTTCATCAGCAGAGACAGGGGGCCCTCTCTGGATGCGAAGGTTGGGAAGGAGCAAAGATCAGACGCAGCCATGTAAAGATTAATAGATGAATACCCCAGGTGAGGAACTGGAAAGTGCATAGATGCTGGGGCCCAAACCTGCTTATACAGCAAGAGCAATTGTGGAGGGCGGGGCGGGGAGCTGGGGGTGAAGAAGGAGGGCGTCTCTGTTCTCTTCTCACTTCCTAGCAGTTGCTGCATGGGCAGTTTTGGTTATTATGCTAGCAGACATTTTCTAGGAACACACAAATATGCATATAATTTTCATTCTTCCTCCCTTATACCGATGTTTCTGTTTCTCTTTTTTTTAAGCAGAACTTTCTCCTGTATTCCAGGACTGGTCTGTTCACTTAATTCAGAACTACCTCACCCTCACTGGGCTCAGGCCTGGGGAAATACAAAGTGCAGAGCCTCAGAGCTTGAGGCAGCAAGGGAAGGAGCCTGACTCCAGGGACTCGCCAGAAATAATTGTTCTGTGTTACAAGTGAGAGTGAAAACGGTGATTGGGAGGCCAGAGATCCATCTGCATTTCACAGCACTC